CTAGCTGTGAGTGACTGGAATCTTTCTGCCATTTTCAGCCTTCGTAAGTGTCACCATTGGTTTGGTGCAACAGGGCGTTTGACGCATAAGTAAGTTGCACGTAAAGAATTCCAAACCATTTTTGTAATGGTCGAAAGGTCATTCAGATGAAGTGCTTTCAGGCGCAGTTTGGTTTGGTGCTGCCATTTTGGGGGTTCACATGGATCACTGCCGATGTCTCCTGTGGGCATTTGCAAATTTCTATGAAGCTATGCAATAGAAGCTGTGTAGCTATGCTTCGTTTACACTTGAGAAAAGTTCGGAGGCCCCTACCAGGTTCTGAATTGCAATGCAGAGGAGCTAGCTCAAGGAAGTGGAGGAAGAGCAAAATGCCCTCTCCAAGCCGATCAGCGCCCGGCCCGGGTGAAACATGAAGGGCAGCAGCATAATGATCGGTCAGGGCGGCGTTGTTGTGTCGCATGTTTTATCAATCAGCATTAAGCCACGCAGCACAAGCTAATTTCTGATATTTTATGGATGTACCTTCTGGCTTTCTCTGATATCTCCCTTTTAGGATTTCGAGAAGCTTCTCAGAATGGTTGAAGATATGAGTGATGATGATAGCAGTACTGACCGTATAACTGAAGAAGGTGGAGAGGATGGAGACGTTGAGGGAGGGGAGGATGGAGATGTTGAGGGAGACGGCGGTGTGGAAAAAGAAGCTGAAATGTACGTCAGGCTAGGATTTCAGGGAAGCATATGGGAGTGTTATTTCATTATTTCAGATCTGAACTGGATTCGGATGATCTCAGTCAACCGGAAATGGCTTATGGACAAACAGACCGGGGTCCAGTGAGAATTGGGAGATTCGTTGCGCAGAATCTGGGGCCTGATGCCATACCAACGGCCTCCAAAGTAATAGGCACTCAGAAGTCAAACAAGGAAGGGAAAAAGTTTACATCAGAAAGTAGCTCTTCTGAAGGAGAAGCAGTAATCAACGACAATCGCGGCGATCAGTCCCCCAACAATGAAGAAAACAATAAAACTAAGAAGAAAAGAAAAAGAAAGAAGAAGGCCAAAAAGAAGAAGTCTGTGATGTTTGCAGAGAACCTGGAAGATGCCACTGTGATCGACTCACAAGCACCGGTATGTTGCTCCGTGGCTACTTGACTTTTTTCTCTCACTCCCCCCCCCCTATTCCTTCCTCAGATCAAAGGGTTGGGCGTTGAGGGCAAGGCATGAAAACGCATGCCGACAACTTATTGCGTAAATGGGCCCTGAGCATGACGAATTGGGAAAATTCCACCAAAAGTCACTGTTGTCAACAAGAGCTAGCTCTCGAATAGCAAGAGCTAACTTTCAAATAGCGATTTTTAAAGATAACCATCGCTATATTGCCTGGGTCGGTGGGGCTGGAAAACATCTTTTTCGGCGTGTACGTCCTTATTTTGCTTTCTATACTGGACGAATGAGACGAGAAAACAAAGGGCGCGTTAATGACGCTGTTTCTTGGCTGCAGCATCTACTGGGGCCAACAACATTTACGCGCCCACGCGAAATAACCATAATCTTTCGCTTTCACGTCGCGTGCTGGCGTCTGTGCCAGTCGATGCGCGGCAAACTGTATGAGCTACGCTGTTGTTGACTAAGTCATCAAGAAATCTATGCGACTCCGTCGACAGCAGATATTCGAGCATTTCCCGGTTCCTGCACCCTCAAATCTTGACAGCCGCCAAAAAAGTCAACTCATCCATCGAGCGCGGGGTTGCTCGCCACGCTCACTAGCGCGGCGTATTAGGAATGTCCTGTCACACTAATATTTAGCATAGACGCATTGAGTTTTCACTTCTCTTACAAGCCTCGCGATACCGGTAAACTGCGTGAACCAGCAGCCCGCTCACAATCACAAGAAAACGTCAATCCTTCTAAACGCCGATGAGAAGTCTCCTATAAATGAGGATGAAATCACGAAGGTGACAGAGCCTTCTAAAGTTGTTCTACCCGGCTCGAAGGAAGCGTTCAGTGGCATCATCAAAGAACGAAACGTGGAAGGTAAATAGTTTCTTCTTTCTCAATAGCTGAGTTTGTGCTTTGCCCCTGTGATAATTTGCATTAGTCTGAGTTCGCTGATTAAGATCAGTCACAGGTTTGTGTATTCTACTCGGATTTCTTTCCAGTTTTTACTGCGAGCGATGTTCCTGCAGCCATCACGCAACCGTCAACCTCTAAACCACAGTCTTTATTCAGAATGAAGAGATTACATAATAACATGTGATATTACTAGAGCTGTTGTTAAGTTTTTAAATTGATAGAAACTTATGTTTGGTTGTTGTTCTTCGGTGAAAAGAGTGGCTTTCAATTTGTAGATTGCCAAATTAAATGATTTCTATTAACTGCTGATATTATTATTGCTGTTGTTAGTTTCCTCACGTGTACCGAATTCGTGTAAACGTGGTTTCTTTGACGGCGGTGAGGGCTGCCAGGAACTTTGCCAGGAGGTGTTGGCGATTTCACCGCATCAGGTCTAACCGTAACCTCGATATCAGCGAGTTTGCGTTCATAGTCCGCGATCGAGCGATTTTGTCGCACGATGACCGCGCTCCATCGCTAAGCGCTAGATCACTGCAGAGTTTGAAATAAGTTTTGTTCTGACTGTGAAACTAGCAGTTGAAGCAGTCCAACGATCAGTGGAGGAGCGCGGTCAGTTGCAAAGTATGTACGCAGCCTGGAACAAACTCCCGTCTAGTGTCTTGTGTAGGAAGTTGCATCCACGTCAAACCAAGTAGGCCCTGCTGCGAATGCCGAGCTCGCTTGCAGCGTTGCGTCTCCCCGTAGCCACGGCGTGGCGTGATGGCGCACCACACCCCTCCGATGTTGGGAGCTTGCTAGATTTCTTTGGAAGGTGAACGCGTTCCGAACCGTGTGACACACAGGGTGTGTCATACTTTTGCTCTCTGCGCCGTTTCATACGGTCTGTTTGCCACCTTATTCATGCTCCACAGGTATCGGAGCGTTTTTTTGTGCTCAGAACACAAATATCTCATAGAAAATGAAAGAAACAGATGAAATTGCTGATTATCGGTTTGAAAAGTAACGAAATTATGCGGAGATCCTCGCACAACGGCGGTCCGGAACGTGCTAAAAATATCGGTTTGAACATGGTGCGGGTACGCTTAAACATTGTATGCGTCAATGTATACAGTGAGTGTCGTCGCAACCAGTCGCGGCGGTGTCAGGAGGGGCGGAATGAGCCAGCCTCCGGCGTTTCTTACCACTGGTTGCTTGCTTCCGGAATTGATCTCTAAGCGGTTACTATTGGTAGAAAATACAGCCGGGGCGGACCATTCCACGGCTCTCAACATCGCCCCCGCACCTTCCACCTTTTGGGTGGCGTGTGAGGAGCTGGATGTCCGCGTTGTGACAACTTTGCGGAGCGATTTGTGTAGTGTGCGCAATATTCACAGCAAGATTTCCCAGCTTCTCTCTTCGACAGATAAGGGGGGGGGGGAAGAAGGGCGTAGCAATTGCTGAGTTTTGGGGCTACCTTCTTGAGGTAATTCTTCGGGAAAAAACAGGAGGCTGTTCTGTTGCTGGAGTTAGGGGCTGATTCCATCCGCAATAATATGACGATGTAAACGAGTATGTGGGTGAAAGCGGTCTAACGAAAGAGGCACACTTAGCACGCGCGAGGTCCGGAGGTCAAATCTTGGATCGGCTAGCGTCGAGACAAACCGGGCCTCCGCTTACTTTACCGTAAATTTACCGGGTTTATCTGAGAGGAAAAAAAACCCGTCTTGTTGATCGACTGACCACCACCTTCCCCCCCCCCGGCTGATTGTGCAACCACATTGTATTCAGCCTCTACGTTACTGAATAGGAGTACAATTTATGTTTCCCCACACCAAATAGGGATCGATCAATAGGGGAGCTTCGTTGACTGAACATGTATTTCAACGTATTGTAATGACGGAAAATGTTTTTAGTGCTACCCATCTGGTTTTTTTCGGGAATTTTTGTCGAAATTTTCGTGCCAACTTTCGCGGGCATGTTTCTGTTCTTTCCAGGAAAAGGGTTTTCAACCACTAGTGTTCCGTCCCCTAGGACGAATTTGGAAAAGAGCTCTGCTCTTCTTGAAGGCTGTGATGATGATGAACCAAAGGTGGGTCTTATCTGACATCCTCTGTTTGAGGTTTCTGGTTTGTTCACCAGCGTTGCTTATGTTTATCATTTTCACAAGTTAAGGCGGTTTCATTGCACAGCGAAGCCACAGGGTACAGTTCTGTTCACTTGCGGATGATGGGGCGTGTTAAGGGGATGAATTTGGCGCGGTTTTCTTCCTTTTTCCGCTCGGCAAGCGACAACACTCTCACATGTCGTTCGCATCAGTCGTTTTCCACCAGTTTTTGTGCTTCCCCTCTTTCAAAAACTGGTGGAGAATGAGCTAGTGGCGCACCAAACCCAGCCTCTTTGACACGCCCCTTCATTCGAAATGAGCAAGACTGTAGAAAATAGTTAATGATCAGAGCCACAGAGAAATCTTCATTTTCAGTTTCAAATAGACTCTAAGAAAATGGCTTCTATGCTGAAAGGTGACCCAAGAGTGTGCGTTGCAATTATTTCCTTGAGCGCTGGCGTTTTCCTAAGAATTACTTTTACAGGACAGTTATGAAGAATTATGAACGAGACTGTGTGAAGAATTCAGCCGAAGCTGCAGAAAAGGTGAATCTTGACCCTCTTCAAGCATTTCATCGACATTCTTATAAAGTTTTGGTTTTCGAAAATAGGTTAGTGAGCTGGTGCAACAGAAGAAAATAAAGAAACTCCACCCACAATCGGTACGCATATCAATACCAATGTTAGAGGAGTCGCTTGCAAAGCTGCCCGAGGTAAGGTTTTGGTTGAGCAACGGTCAACTCTTCATGGGCGTCACTCTTTATGATTTCGTTAAGGAATGGAGCCATTTCTGGTTTTTGGTTTTCAGCTTTGTAATTTTTGTGCTGTATTGGGCAGCGTTCAGAACTTTCGCCGAAAGCAGCCCTTCGTTCGCGCGTCCCGAACGCTGAATCAATGCAGTCGAAAGCATGCGCATCGATCGCATCAAACGCGCGACCGACGCGCTGCCGTCGCGTAGTCTGAACGCTGCCTTAGTAAGCAAGTTAGAAGGGAATTCAGGAATGTCCACTGCGCAATATTCCTAGTGAGGTTCTTATACGCATCATAAAACTGCTACCGATGACGTCTATCCTCTCGCTGGCTACGACATGTAGAACCTTCAACGAAATCATCAACGAGCAGCGCAACGGTATCAAGGACACGTTCAAGATCTCTATCGATTTCGTGAGTGCTTCTACAGTTTTATACAGCGCGAAAACGCGATGGATCTAGAGCGTGCATTTGCGCAGCGATATCTATGGCCGACGAACAAGACGATCGAAATTCGTCGCATCGCCTCGCTTGAAGTCCGCGACTTATTGTGCGGCCATGCGCGGCAAATTATGGTTGTGAATAAGTTTGTCGATTGGAGCAGCGAAGCTGTTGAATTCAAGCGAATACAAGAGTTCATGACGGGTTCCATGACGGTTTCCCATCTCTTTGACACTCACATTCAAAGTGCTAGGCAGGACAGTTCATGTGTCGGGCGCGACGTCGCTCGCCACGCCCATTACTGCAACAGTTCACGGTGTCTTGTCGAACATCCGGGACACACAAGCCGTCCGCTTTATGACCGATTGCTCCGTTATCACGTAATGTGGCTGCAACTCATTGAATGTTAGAGGTTAGGTTAACTTTGCGGTACCGGTTTTGAAGACGCGCTGAGCGCTCACCTTCGAGGATCCGGCCCTTCCGCTTGTGTGTGCGCGGACGGGTTCCCAGCTGTAGAAGTGTGCCACGGCGCAGCTCGGCGACGGGGTGGGGGCATTTCGTACTTTTGCCACTTACCATTGACGTGTCGACCTATCTAAGCAACCTCTTCTCGAGTTGACAAGTCCATAATATCTTGACGACCTTGCTCCAGTTTCACAAGAGTCCACAGGTTTCGCCATAGTGAGACTTGTATACCGGAACTAAATAAGCAGTGACAGTACAAAATGCCCTCCCCTCCGTCGCCGAACTGCGCCATTCTTTTGCAACTCGAATAGCGCTGAAATGAGGATGCAAGGTGAAGATAGCCGCACGTCTCTCTAGACTCCATCCGCTGATAAAGCACGCAGTCACGCGCCAAGACACATTGCCATGCCTACGCCCAACCATAACCAGAAACGCTAGTTGCCTGCGGCTCCTCTCGTTTGTTGTGCTCTACACTTGACTGCTAGAGGTAGCTTGTTAATGTTGATCGCTGCGGGTGCCACGGAAGGAATGCAAGTACCGCACGTGATGGATAGCAGGTGGAGTCCAAAACAGTAGTCAGCTATCGTAGCCGTTCGGAAGGCTGCGAACCTGTTTCGCACCCGTCTCATGGTAAGGATTCCATTGCTCTGCAGGTAAGCATGCAGCGAATATGAACGTAGCGATGACACTAACTTTCTTTGCTTTGTAATTACCCTAAAATCCCATAGATAAGAGCGGTCCATAGATAAGAGCGGTTTGTGCTAGGAAATGAAAATTGACGTTTGTATACGTTTTTTTTGGCGTTGTGTGCTCATGATTATCGCAATAATAGCCTACAACTCTACCTTTATCACCTCTTCAAGTTCTATCCAGAGATCAAATTCCGGCATTTCTAGAGAGATTCCGGCAGAAATTCCGTTAAAATCGCTATTTTTCTATATGAATTGTTTATTAAGTGGGCGGGGTTTAGAGTTTAGGGGCGGAGCTTCTTCTAAACTTCTTCTCCGATTTTTATTTATCCATCAAGTTAGAGGGGTGACTGCATTCAATTTCAATTTCATTCCAATTCATTTTTCACCGGTAAATTAAACCGCTCTTATCTATGGGATTTTTAGGGTCTACGCTAGTATCCTTTGCGAAGCCTAGTTGCCCTAACGCACTGCAGCGTTTTCTACATCACAAAAGCAAAGGTTACCTGACATCTTGAACTTTTGTGCATGGTGCTGTTACGATCCCCTGTGACGCAGACGCATAGAGAGAGCGGCTGCCAAAGCATCGAAACATACAAAAAACCTATGGCGAGCCAGGAAACGGGGGGGGGGGGGGGGGCGTGAGCTGACTATGTAGTCGGTGAAAAGCTGGGATGTGATTGAGTCACAACAACCATAGAGTACCATGCGGACGAGAGAGTGCAGAGAAGAAAGAAGATCGAACCGTTCAAAGGGATTAAGTTCAAGTTGTCCGTAGACCCAAACCAAACCGCTATCGTAACCCTTCAGCTCAACTCTACGTACTTGCGAGGGATGGGAGCTTTACGGCTGCGGATCTGCTCACCTCTCACATGGCAGGGATCCATCTTGCAGGTAAGCGATTCCAATCAGACGGGTTCTCGAGAGTCTTTCTTCTCGAGGGGTATTTTCTCATGCCATCTATTAGCCCTGTAGTTGAAGTACCAAGATAAAGGAGGAGGGAACAGAGAACGAAGGAAGGAACGAAAAGAAGGGAAGAGAACCGCAAAAAAGGAATGAATCGTGGAAAAGCTGCCCTGTATGAAAAGTGCCCTGAGACGTCAAAACCAATCAGCTCTTGGTGCAAATGCCGCTGACCACGCTTGCAACGCTGCCTTTGATGCGCCGTCGCACTATGAATCCAATTTCCTACTTCTCAGCTAATTCAATGGCGACATCTGTAGACCACAGACATGGAAGTGTTACCCTCGCAGTATTATCCTTCTATTCTATAAACCAGTAACTTCTAGTAGTGTCGGTTTGCTATGTATGTATGTATGTATGTCTGTCCGTCCGCAAAAAATGTTCACGTTCGAGTTTCGCGCTGAAGGGAGGAAGAAAACGACCGCTAGGCAAACCGGAAATCGATTGGTGCGGAAGTATCAATGCAATGTTTTGATCGTGATATCGGCCTCCGCTATATAAGACAACCATTCGGTAGGCTCCGAGCCATTGCACGAGCTGCTGGCGTGGCAGCTGGACGTGTGCTCGTGCGGGGGCAGGGTGGGGTGGGGCCGAGGGGGGGGACGCCCAGTGCCCCCCCCTCTGCTTCCTTCCCCTGCGCGTGCTCAGCCCCATCTGAGCATGCGCAAGGGAAGGAAGCAGCAGAGGAGGTGGTCTGACTGGAATACTGGGGCGTTTGTTCTAAGGTTTGATATAGGTTACGGCACCAGGGAATCATGTGGTGACAAGAACTGGCTAGCTGCTGATCAAGGGCGAATTAGACGTGAAAAGGCGACAACATAACTCACGCCCTCTCAAACGCGGGACACAGCATCATAGGCGTTGATTTCAGCAAATGATAGGAGAAGGCGACGGCGGGTGACAGGAAATGATAACAGCTGATAAGGCCTGATAGAGAAAGATGCAGTCGTTGTTCAATCAAATGTTGGAGCCT